TCTAATCGGTGAGTGGGTGCAGCCGGATGATATTCGTTTCGCCGGAAAGGTGGATTATTATAATTTCCACGATTATTTTGTCGTACTATAGGGTTTCTTGCATTATTAAAGGATGATCCTCGTGTTAACCTATCCATTCTGGCCTTAAGTTCCTCCATCGCGGTGGTTAATTGCTCCAAATTGTCTCTAGAGCGGAAATCCGGTGATCTCTCGCTTTCCCTAACAGTGCGCATGATCCCACGGGGATGTGCGGTAAGTTCCTCAATTGATTCCTCGCTAATCGCCGCTTCTAACGCATCATCAAATGTAACTGGCTCCCTGGACATGATACGTTGTCGGATTCGAATATCAACGCCGTTTAGGAATTGTACTTTTAATCGTTCGTCTAGTTCCTTTCGCTGAATTCTCTGAATCATTGCCGTTTCAGCGTCATCTGCTCCGGGTTCCGGCGTAATCTCAATCTCCATAGCTAACGCTTGAAGCCTAGCAGCGTACGTTTGTACGTCCTCATCTTTCCTTTGTACGCACGTATAAAATCTATTTAATCGGAACGAAAAGGGCTCTTTGTCGAATCGGGTTAACATTATTCGTTTAAATTCCTCAAAATCATCTACCTCCTTAATTCTACGATCCTTTCGTACAAACTCCCGAGCTATCCCGGTAAGTTTTAACTTGGCCACCGCCAACATTTGCGCTTTGGACCATGCCGCTACTTTCGTGACATCGGCCAATGAATCAAAAAAATCTGTTACTCGGAGACCTCCCGCTTCTCCGGAGAATACTGGCAATAAGGGAATTATTCCTCCCAGACCTCCCAAGGTGATTGGGCTTGGAGTAGGATTTGGATTTGGATTAGGATTAGGGTTTTCTGCCGCAGCCGCTGGTTGTGGATCGCCCTCCATCATGTCTCCTAGTCCTAAATCTATCTCTTATACCTCTTCTAGCAATTCTCCTAATCTACCAGTCCCTAATTCGACTATAATCGCTCCTTTACCTCGAATATCGCTTTTTCCTGCTTTACCGATATCTCGAGAAAGTCGAACCCCACTCCTGAAAAACCAATTTGTGGGTAGCCTGAGGTAGGACGAGGTCGTACCTCTTTTTGATAGGCAACAGTTGGGTGACAACTGCCCACTGGTCAGTGGATGGCTTAGAAAGTGCTTTTTCTATCCCGTACAGTCGGGATTCTTTTGTCAGGTCGAGTGGAGGAAGTGAGAGGGGTCGACGGTAAAGCGTTAACGATACCCGAAATAAAGACGACCTTTTAATAAACAAACAAACATTTATTCAGACAACCTAATCCTATCATACAATGACTAACTACTTGCGCGTTTTTCGAAGGGACCGCGCCGAGAGAGAGTGTACAATATCGGGTCATACCTCGGATGAATTTTCGGTCTATGTCTTGCTTGAAGGGTTACTCGGATCGAAGCTCTTGATCGGGTAGGTATGCGGTCGTATCTCGGGAGCGTCCCAGGGTTCATCGGCGAGGCGGTCGGGTGGCGTCCTGGATCTGGGTAAACGAAATCGACCCCCCTTCCGTGCGGCACCTGGTCTTTATACCCTCGGGTCTCGTGGTCGGGTTTCACCAATCATGGATTTTTTCCAAAAGATGTCCGGGTGATTCAGTTTCGGGTTCCGTTGTGAAAGGAAGTTACTCCGGGGCACAGAAGGATAGATTTCCTCCCAGGGAAAATTTTAACACAAAGAAAAACTGAGAGTTTCGATGTTAATAATAATTGATTGTTTAATATTAAACATTTTATTTTTAATTAACTCGATCTATTTCTCACAAAAGTGGCCTAATTGAAACAGAAGAAAAAAAGTGCTGCTGAAGAGAAAACATGTTGAAGAATCTGAAAAAACATTCCAAAAATGGGTAATAACTCTGCTTCAGCAAAAATACCTTCAAACAATTCTCCAATTATGTTGTGTTGATGTGTTTGTTGCAACAAGTTATGATACTGCTGTGGAAGTAGGTCAAGCAGGACCTGCAATTAACTTGGGGAAGATGATGCCAATAAAGGAGAAGAGGAATAAAAAGAAAAGGTAACTCTCCCTTCATGCTCTCAAGCCATGGCAACAGTTGCAATGCTCAACACCAATTTTTCTGATGAGAACATGGATTATAATATCACTAAGTCTTTTGATTCCATTTGCAATTATGTAAGTTGTACCTGTAAATGTGAGAAGAAACAGACTACCACTACTAATTTCTTTACAAAACTGTAGGCCTAACAGAATAAGAATACTGTAATGAAGTTTTAATATGATTTACAGACCAAGTCAACAATGACTTGGTCTGTAAATCATATTAATTTATTCTCAGATATTAAATGTAGGATGCTAACAAGGAGGTTAGGATTTTTCATCCACCAGTGAGAATGGATGAGTGGTGTGGATGAGTACATAACAGTGTGAGAAAACATGTCTCCTTTGAACATTAAAACATGTCTTCTTTGAACATTTAACTCATTTATTACAAAAACATTAAATGTTTATAATAAACAGGTTAAGAGAAGCTTACAATAATCTTTCAAAATCACTTCAAAAATGTCTCTAGGTTCAGAGGTGTGTGATTTTCCTTCAATGTGTTCCACAGAAAAATAGATGCCCTGGGGCAGTGTTGATCTTGAGTATGGAGCTTAGATGAAGTTAACCAGATGAGCTACTTGGTGGTCTCAGCCAAGAAGATGAAGCAGAAACACAGGCACAAAATAAAAAATTAGAACTTGAGCTATCTTTAAGCAGTTACAGAAGAAGGAAAGCAGGGAGAGAATGCAGGTAAACAACCAGAAGGAAAAAGCCCAGTGTCCCTGATTCTGCAGTTTAGGTAGAATTTTAACAGACTAAAGTTCATAAAACAGAGCTACTAATGTAACATGAATAAATAATAAGAATTCATAATTGGTCATAAAAGTAAAAATTTATTATAAAAAATTAAATTAAAAATACCGCAAACTACTTTTAATACTTTTGAAATAATGAATATATTCAACAAATCATGAATAATCCATGAAAATTATTTATTGATGCTAAATATATAGTGCTGGACTGGATTAATCAGTTTCATCTAATTAAGCAATTAAACCTATTCTATTGAAATTAGTGCCATAAACTTTGTGTTTAAAAACTTTTTAGAAATTAAAAAAACTCCTTAGTTTGTTTTGAGAATAAGAAAAAAATTTAACACTTCCTTTATCTTAAAATGTACTACTCAATACTAATAATATATATGTAAGAAAAGAAAGGCAAGGTGAAAGACTTGTAAAAAAATAGAAATGTTATAAAAGCAACGAATAATAAATAGACAAGTAAACAATTTGTACACTAATCATTACTTCTCTGATGTAAAATAATTTTAAACAGACAATGAAAATTTAAAGACATTGTGCTAAAAGCAATACTGAAATGTAGTTTTCTAACATATGATTAATGTTTTCTATTATTTTGAAACAAACATTTTTATCATAAAAGAAACAATGAATAATAACCATCACTGCAGCATTTCATAATATTTATTGTTTCTATTTATTTTTTTACATCATCTTGCTCAGTTCAATAAAAAAAATTTTAAAAATCCTCTACTTTTGGAATGCATAGTTTTAATTAAAAAATTTCAATACTTTTTTGTTCATTTTTGATATCTAATTGTTTAACTTTAGTTTACTATTTAAAGCTGTTTTATTACATAACTCATTATAAAACAAAGATTAAAAGGTTCATGAAGAAATATATTTTTAAAGATGGACAATATTGAAGACTAAGAAGAAAAAAATTTTTGAAGTTTTCTGAATACCCACTCATGATCACTGGAACAAATTAACACTAGCAGAGTCAACTTTTTTCTTAGTCTCTTCTCTGCTCAACTTATGTAAATTGTTTAAAAGTTACTTTGGCATTGAATATTCTTGTGGATTGGATTGCGAAAGCCATATAGAAAATATCTCAGATTTAACGAATTAACAAAAATTCTTGGAAAGTACAGACTTCAGGAATATAAAATTAAAAATTTTTCATATGATTAATCTACACTAACATACAGTAAAACCTGCTAATGTGACCACCTGTGTAACATGACCACTTTGAGCTGGTCCCATCAGTGGTTATAATAGGTTTCACTGTATATATTATATACATATTAGTATGGATTGGATATCTACACGTACAGTACATATATATATATATACTTTTTTTTTTATTAATGTGTTCAAAAATATCAAAAATATACTTTTTTAGCAAAATTTTAAATTAGACATACCTGACCACAACTGAGGAAGATAATGAAATTCTCCTCCCAAATTAACAGCATTAATTAATTCTTCCATCACTGATGGTTCTGGTGTATAAATCTAAGATTTTTAGATTTACTTTATTGAGTTTATATTGAATGATGATGTAAATTTAATAGAAAAATATTACTTACATTGGGTACATATTTATTATAGTTTTCAAACAAAATATCAATATTCTCAGTATGACATAATAATTGAAAGAACAGTCTACTATAAATAAAGTACACATGTAATTTCTGTAAACAAACAAATAATTAATTTTAAAGTTATCATACCAACACTTACTAAAAAATAGATTCTTTATATGCATCCCCAATAAGAATATAATTATTTCCATGTTGCAGTAGGTCATGAACTCTATATGCTAGTTCTTTATCAACTAGATGATAGCAGCACTAAAATAAAAAAATAAAAAACAACTTACAATAGTTTATTAAATTACAATTTTTTAATACTTATATACTTAATAAAAAACTTACCACATCCATGGCTGTAACAAAAAAATATACTGAAAAAAAGAAAAATATAATTTTCTATTAACAATATAGTTTTTTAACAAAATATATTGCTACTTTCATTACATTTGTTTCATATTAAATCTTAAACCAAATTAATTTAAATGAAAATATAAATTTAGTGATCTGTAATAAATTACCACAATATTTTAAAAAAAATCACAGGACTGAATAAAATTTAAAATAATAACTTATAACATCAAACTATTTGTTTAGAAAATAAAAAATATTTTTAAATAGACAATTAGACAATATATGTAAAATTTGAATTTTTTTCAATTCACAAATTTAAAATTTTTCTATAGTTTAAGAATAAAATTTGAAGTTACAGTTCTTCTTCACTGCTTATTTGTTAAACAAAGTGATTAAAATAAAATATTTGATTTAAACTATTTAATAATTTATGAAAATATATTTTGATATACTATTTAAACATATATAACACATTGACAAAAGACTTATGCACCAAGAAGGCAGCAATGGAATTGAGTGAAAGTTTATTAGCATGAACATAATAATGATAGTAATAAGTGATTACAATATCACAGCAGAGGAACAATTTTACATGAAACAATGGTACAATTTTAAACAAATCTTTTAATACCTTGTAGAACCTTCTCTTTCCTGGATACGTGTGTCCATAAAATCAGCCATGGAGGCATAAAGACACAGATTTGCCCATAATTGCTTCTCTAGATTCCTTACATTAGTATTTGAATGAAGTTGGTATCCCATCTGGTCCCAAAATTCCTCAACGGGCAACAAAACTGAATACCAGGCAGGCCAAGGAAGGTGCAGATGTGATGGAGACATTTGTGATAATCCCTAGCTGTGTTAATCTTGCTGAAAAGTGACTGCAGATCTGCCATGAAAGGAAACATGAGGGTGCAAATCAATGTGCCTTGTACTATTACTGGAGATAACAAACTCAAACAAGATGGCTCCCTAGACCAGCATGCCAGCAAAGAGAGCAGTGTGTCATTCAACAGTAAGAGTAGGATTAAAGCACTCCTCCAAAGTGGTCCACTAACACATTAATAATTGACTCCCAAACAGAACAAGGACTTATTGCTGAAGATGATAGATATGCTTCAGTCCTTTGCAGTACATGCTTCTTTGTCATGGCACTATTGCAAACAAAGCTGATGTTAACAAGGTACTAATGGCAGGTCATGTAGTGGTTGCATGCATGAAAATTTATGTCAATAGTACATGAAGAAACATGGTTCTGTAGAAGGCCTGTCTCTGGATGGTGAACAAAGACACCATTGCAATTGTTCATGCTTGTCTTAAGATCAGACAATTGTTTCACCTGGGGAATCTAGATCCTGTATGCTGTATTTGTTTACCCTGACATATTCACTGCCCAACTCCTCCACACAGTAAAATCAGAAAAGCCCAGAAGGCAGTCAATTTGGGGAAACAGCATCCTGCTTCCCTCAGCCAGATAATGTGGCCTTTTTCAAATTCATCAGCTCTACAAAATGTCTTTGACTGCATCATACATGCATACTTGATGATTGAAGACCTTCAAACTATAGGCACACAGAAAATTCTGAACACAGTGAGCGTAAGCTTTCTTATAGAATACTAGAGTAAAATTACATAAAAAAATCAAACCTAATAAATGTTGTTAATCAAATGAAACAGCTGAATTCTTAAATTAATTAATTAATGGGCTATTATAGGGATATTAAGGTAGCAATTTTAAAGCACTCTAGTGGTATTACTTGATATACAATCAACTATAACTGTGATCATTTACAAACGTGTCTGATACAAAGCTGCATGCCAAGTTTTGCAATAATCAGACAACTTTATCTGGATGTATAACTTTTTGTCAGTGTGTGTGTGTGTGTGTTTTTGATTGAGAATCATTCAAATATTGAACTATAGTTTAATATTTAAATTTTTCTGATAAGATATTTTATAATTATTAATAGATCTATGATATAAAAAAAAAATACATAAAACACATAAACTTAACTTTTTTTTATAATTATCCCAATTTCCAGATTGTTATAAAAATTTTCTGTTTACTTTATATATAAATTTTTATACATACAGTCAAACTTTGGTTTTCAACTGATTCACTTTTTGAACAATTCAAATTCAGTTCACGAACAGAATTTTGAACTCATAATTGTACCAGCTGCCATATGATAACTCAGTTGCCAAATAAGGTATTTTGCAAGAGCCAGCCACAGATTAGAAAGACACAGACAGTCAACTCCCTATACTTCCTATGTTAAAGGAAGTTGACGGCTCAATCAATGACAGGACTACTGATTCAGAAGTTATAGGCACTGAAATAACCTCACATCATTAGAGATCATGACACAAATCACCAATATGTCGACATTGCTATTTAAATTACATTTCAATGTGCATGCAGAAAAAAATATTACTTCTGTTTTTCAGTATGTACCACAGTTGAATTTAAATCAAACTGATTAATAAAAATTATTTTAAAAATATTTCAATTAATGCAAAAATTAATTAAAATGGTCAAGGACTATAAATATATAGATATTCATAATATAAAAGCAACAATAAATGTCTTTATATCTTGTCCTTCTCACAACCTTAGGAACAAAACAGTCTTTACGGGTGGAGTCAACCTTTTTTCTTTGAGACTTCTTGTCCACCTCATTATGTCGAAACGTTAAAATACAATTCCAGGTGGAAACACCAATTCAGAAATATTCTTTAAAAAATATAGACTGTTTTGTTCCTGAGGTTATAAGAAAGGACAAGATGCAAACATTTATTGTTACTTCTATATTGTGAATATTTATATAATAAAAACCTTGTTAACTGACATTCATGTAATAAATGACATCCAAGAATTCATNTTACACTTTAAACATAATTTATGTGGTTTTTATTATTTTCATTTAGTGATTTGTTTCATAAATATCATAATAATCAGCATATAATATTCTAAAATTCATTAATTAAGAATAAAATTACTTTAACCAGTTCCCATCGAGCTTCAGAATTCTCTTTCAAGAATGGAGAAATAGAAATTAATGAGTTGTAAGTTTCTACATTTGCTAAAGTAAAAAAAAAAGGTCAAATTTAATTTGTTTATAAATACATTCAATAAAAAAATTGTTATTACTTACGACATAGATTTTTCTCTCTCATTTCTTCATACAAACTGTAAGCTCGATTTGCTTGATAATACTAAAAAATTGTAAAATATATAATTTATTTTATATATTAATATCCTCTTATGGAAAAATTTCAGTTTTAGAACAAGTCAGTTTTCAAAAACTTTTAGGAATTAATTATGTTTGAAAACCAAGGTTTGACTGTATATAAAAAATTTACAATGATAATAGCAATAAACATTTATATCATATTTAAAGTACTAAAATTATCCATTGATACCATCTTTTGGATGACAAATTTCAAATTCTTTTCCTTCAATATATTCCATTATTTCATAAAGTATAGGACTAGGTGGGCCTTCTGTAATTAAAAAAAATTGTAGAGTTTTATTTGTTTTATTGCTTTGACATTATGAATTTATTTAAAAATAATATTCTCAAAAATTTTAATTATTATTGTTAAATTAATATCAGTGTATACTTACTTTCTTTGCAAAATATTGTCAACATATAATACCAAGTTCCAAGACTAGGAACTGAAAAAAATTCAAAATTATAATAATTTTTAAGTAATACAGAAATATTTGACCAAAAATGTAATTTTACTTTTAGTTAAGATATGTTTATATAAATTTTACAATAAAACATAACAAATAATTAAATATATATTTTTAAAAAATATATGTTAAAAGGTGAAAAACTAATTAATTAAATAAATTATTAAAAAGCTGATTATTGTTCAACTAAAAATAATAATTTCTTAACTCACTCCTACAGTTATATTAAACAAAAATGTTCATTAAAAAGTCTATTTTCATTACCTATATTGAGATGTTTCATTTCTGTCAAAACTTCAAGACTCAAAGATTTTGCATTTTGTATTCTCCCAAACCTACTAATAACATCCAAAACAGCATTCATAGTACATAAATTTGGCATTAATCCTTCTTTAGCCATTTCAAATAACAGTTGCTGTTCAAAGTAAATTTTACACTTGTTTTTAAAGACTTAAAAATTTTATAATAAAAGCTATATAAATACAAAAAAATTAATAAGAAATATATTTTGAAATAATTGCATGCTTGAATGTTTAAAAATATAACAGTTTTAATAACTAAGAAGTTAAGGATTACTTTAAGCACAATTTTGGGTGTCTCTCTTTTCAAGTGCATTCTATTTAAATTTTTATTAAAACAACAAAAAGAACTATGTTCGATTTTACATAATGATACAATTATTAATGTCCAATGAGAATGATGGATTCTTAAGTTAATACCAGATGCATATCATTTTCATGTTGTTCTTATAGTTTTAAGTAATGTTAAAAACCTAAAAAATTAGANGGGTTATAGGGATTCAATATTGATATCAACATACCACACTTCTAAATAAAAAATTATTAACAAAAACAATATAACAATAAATAAATAGATAATACAATGTGTTATAAGTAACACCATATGTGGAAAAAGAAAGATAACAAATTAAGTTAATAAAAACAAACAGACTTTGGTTATTATATTAAAAATAATATCATCTTTCACATAAAAATATAGTAAATAAAAGTAGAAAGATTGTTACAGATCTTAATTTTTGGCAAAAGAAAAAAAAAATGTGAAATTATTTAGTAATCCATTACAATCTAATAGCCAAAAATATGTATTTATATATTATTTATTTATTAGAATATGTTTAAGATAAAAACATTCAAAATCTATTAATTCTTTCTCTTATCTATCATTTCATTATTTTTTTTTAATCCTACAAATAAGCAATTTTTAGCTCTGCAAATATGTGAAATGTGTGAATATAGAGCTTCTATCATATGCTTATTTCCTGTAGCATTTATTGTATATTTCAAAGTATTATTTGTAAAAAATGTTATTAGTTTTCTGGCCATACAAAAAACTTGATAAACAAAATAACAAGATACGTAACATCAGAAATCTTAATTTGTCATTTATTAATAAAACCAAAGTATTTTATAAAAAACTAAATGAAATGAAAATAAAAAATAAATATTTCTACAAGAAATTTACAAGTATTAATTGCAAATCAAAATTATTGTAAGAACTACTACTATTCAGCTACACAGAATATTGATTTTGTACTGGATTTGAATTTATTTTGTACCATATATTAAAAAATTTTATCAAATAAAGATTTTTTGCATACCTTGCAAAGACCTTGAATAAACGCACAGTATGCTTTTGCATCTTTTTCTTTCATGTCATTAAATATTTGTTCAGCTAAATTATCTTGTCTATTAAATAAAAATCAATGATAAACAATGCTAATATACACAAAGTATTTTCTACAAAAAAAATTAAATTGTAAACTGGTAAATATTTATATTATTTTCCAAAAATTTTTCTTTCAATTTTTAAAAGAATATATATTATTAACCTCCATAATCTTCTAGTTTCAGAATCACCTTTACGCTGCAGCCATTGAGACTAAATCAAAAAAATTTTAAATAATTTTAGATTCTAACAGATAATGATATGTCAATCTGTACTTTATTATTCAAATATTCTTAAATAAAAAAACAATAATATTTTTCATAACAATAAAATAATTTTAAAATATATCAATAATATCATGCTGATAACTAAATAGCCAAGATAGCAAAGACATCAGCCTGCTGCTCTGGGTACCCAGGTTCAAGTCTAGATCAGTTTAGAAATTTTCATAAAAGGATTAATATGGATATGTCACATTTTCTCTCTCATCACCATGTACTCACCCCCAATGCAGGTCTGACTGAATCTGTGATGACTTGCAAAGAAAAAAAAAAAAAGACCTAAAGAATTTTGCAAACAAATTTTCATAATAAAAACTTACATCCATGCTGTGTAATTATTAATGTACAATGAAACTCTTTCAAGCAACCACCTCTCATAAAGATGACTTTTGCTTGGAACCATTGGGTGGTTGCAAAGTAGGGTTTTACTGTATTTTTAATAAATTTTAATTTAAAATTAATTTAAATTGTCTGATATTTTAATATTGAAACATTTTAGTTTTATTATGATTTACAAATTAAAACTAAATTTTAAAAAAATCTTAAAACAAAGCAAAAGAAAAGAAAAGAAAGCAAATTATCCAAACTATTATTAATATACAATATTTTATATCTCAATAGAGCTAATAAAAAACATATAATAGAAATATAAATAAAAAAGTTATATTGCTTACTTCTAAATATTCTTCAGGTGGTGGTTCTTGTCCATTGAAAAAGCAAAGTAACTCCAATAATAACTGTTCAGATTCTTGACTAATTTCTATACCTAATACAAATTAAAATTTGACTATTGAAATTATTAAATTAAAATTTAAAAAAAACCGTGACTAACCTTTTGTTTTTAGATTATTATATATAGTAATTGAATTGTTCACTTCATACTGTTTAATACAATTAATCAACATTATTTCTGTAACTTCAGTATCTTCAGTTATTTTTTCAGGAGCTATAAATGCCTGATAACAGAATGTAAACAGAAATTAATTTAAGAGAGAAGTTTTGTTATAATTAAATAAAAAATCAATATATATATNTCTATAATATTTATATCAGTATGTGTATGAATATATATATATATATATATTGATAATATATATATATATATATATACAGTGGAACCTTGCTTAATGAGCACCTCTCATAATGAGTAATTTGCATAACAAACAAATGAACAAAACAAATTGTAAAAAAATTACTCGCTTAATGAGCAACGTTTTGCATGAGTGACAAGGAAAGGGGAAGTCCTGGATTGTGTGCATGCTCCATCAGTCTCTGTTTAGCACTCGTTCTGCTAGCACCTTAGTGTGAGAAACCGTGGGCCAAGGGTTAATCCCTCTTGACCTCTTACTCAGCAACAGTCTGCAAGGACCACTCACCTTGTCGCTCCGGATGGCTGTTTCGAGTGGTGAGGGAGGGGAGAAAGTCGGCAGGCATCCTTTCAATGACAGGAGTCAAGTTTAACAAATAAACAAAGCATTTATTGAATAACTAATCTAAATTACATGAGGCAGAAACAAAATTATTAAGGTTAAATGCAGTTAATCTACTTCTATTTACATAAACTGGCGATTAATCTTGTGTCGCTGACCTACCAGCGAGAGAGAGAGCTTATACAAGTTCTAAAGTCCCTAAATACGTCTCAGAATAATGGAGAGTTGGCAAACATCGTCTGTATGGAAGAGGTGGAAACTTCGGTGTCTTCTCCGACAGGATCACAGTCCTAGGCATAGAGATTGATGAGCACAAGTACAAAAAATAACTTCTGTGTGCGGACGCACACTGAGTTCCAGGAGAACGAGCTTTTATACATTTTTCGTGGGAAAGGAGTCACATGATCACCATATGTTGACATAAACGGTGCATTCTTGACACCTATGTGTCAACTTTCCCAGCTAATTGTGATAACAAACAGTGACCTCCGATATAATTCTCACCAGGAGTGTTTTTTTCTATCAGAGTTGTTTACAATTCTTTTTTTCCAACAACTGCATAAAAATCGCAGATTTCACATTAGTGTCGCTTGTGATCACACATTTTTCCAAACTTTTATTCACATATATTACCTATAAACATCAACAACCATAGCCCATTATATAATAAACATGTTAGACAATATGCCAAATTCTTGGGCTAGGTAAAGGCTAATATTAGAAATTAATTAATTTGACTACAGGTAGGCAGTTATGCTGCCATCTCATATTAAATTTAATAAATTTAATATGAGATGGCAGCATAACTACGTACCTCTAGTTAATTAATTTCTAATATTTAATTATAGCTTTTACATAACCGAATAATTTAGCATATCGTTTGGCATGTTTATCAGACATATTATCTGTAATTTTTTTATTTTCTGTTAGTTGAATTCACATTTCAGGTTGGTTCATTGTGTTAGAAGAAATGATAATGATGAGTCATGCTCCTTAACAATGTATATTGTATAATTTTCTTTGAATAAACATTATGCATAAAATATTTGAGTATTTTTTCAGCATGAAATGCATTATTATACTTTACATTAATTTATATGGGAAAAATTGTTTCACTTAATTAACAAGTGTTTTGCTTTACGAGTAAGATTCTGGAATGAACTATGCTTGTTAAACAAGGTTCCATTGTATATGTAAGTGGTCTATTTAAATTAAGAATTTACCTCAATAACAGGTTGTGCTGGATTATTTTCAAAAGAATCTGGATATTTTTCAAGAAAAAATCGTGCAGCTTTCTTTCCAGATTCTTTAGCTAATGCATAAGTTCTCTAAATAAAGAAATTATTTAATAAACTTTTATAAAAGTAACATAAAACTTTTCAATTAGAAAGAGAAAGAGATAGATGAATTAAATGATCTGTTCACTAACTTTAGATACATTGCTGACTGGAATTAAAAATGGATCATCATGATATTTATAATGTGGTGCAGTATAATCCTGAAATAAAAATCAAAAGATCTATATAACATAAATGTAAAACATTAGCTAAAAATAAAATAAAAAGCATCTTACTCTTCCAACAGTTGATGCAAGTGCTTTTAATATATCAGTTGGTCCCCTTAAACAAAAAATGTTATTTAAATACAAATTAAAGGTTGCTGAAACTTTAGTATCATACATCAACTTATTTATTTCATAGAATTGTTTTTGAGAATAATTGATAAAATAATGTGAAATATGAACTAACATTTATTAACTAACAGATATAACAGACATTTTTTACAAATTCATAAAATATTAATATTATTCATTAAGTTTTCTTGACATTTAATACCCTCTGTTTTCTTTTTTAGTCCGATTTAATAATATATTTCGATTTTAAAAAAATTTAAATTATGCGTTTGTTTTATCAATAAGTTTTAATTGAGTTTCATGCTATCAAGTTTCTAAACAAGACTGGTCAAGTCTATCTGATAACACGCTCCACAAAAAGCGANGTTATATCTATGTTTACGAAAATTATTATTATTAGTATGAATAATTATTTATTATGACATTGTCACAATGCCAGGCTGCAATTTTTAATCATATTTTTAATTTATTTAACTTAAAATATATGTTCTCCACCTCAAATTAGTAGTCTTGCCCCTGTACATCATACTTTTCCTGATAACAACAGTCATGCCAATCATGTAACTCCATTCAGGGGAAAATTTATGAATTCAATTCACATGATTTTTGGTCTAGACCAGAAGTTTGTAGCGGAACCTCCTGCTCCTAAGCTTTCAATATCTGGTCTTGACTTTCATCTATCTAACACCATTCTCAAGATTAAGGAAGGACAGTGGGAATTTTTAGGTCTACAATTTTTTTAAATTGCAGCCCAATAATGAGTAAAATTGTCATTACATAAGACCATACTTGAGATTTGATACACAACTATCCTCTTTCTCCACCTGAACCTTCAACTACCAAAATTTAATAGCATCAATGACTTTAATACACAAACCTTTATACCTTTATAATTTTTGCCAAAAATTATAAAAGTATTAAGGCTGATCATTTTAAAGACTTGGATACCCAAAGACATCATGATTACAAAATCTAATGCAATGAACTGAAATGACAATTGTTCAGAATGACTAATGATAGACAAGCATAAGCCAATGTGATTGCCAATGTCCATTGAAAATGTAGCAATATAAAAAAACATATAAGACTATTATAATATATTGTATGAATTTTTATAATATATGTTGATTTACATTTAATTCTGACAAGTATATTTCATCATTTTACAAAAGACCTATAATTATGTTTTAATGTTTTTTCCAGTTGGCTTTTTTGACTTCCAGTTCTGAAGAAGACCCACAGGTTTTTTGAAAAATTTATACAATTTGATTTGTATAAAAACAATAAGCAAACATTTGTTGACAGTATGATATAATTAACAAATCACAAACATCAATTAATTTCTGCTGGGAGTCTCAACATTTATTCTCCAAAAGAACTCTCAAATCTCTCCAATTCATTCATACACTTTCCATTCCAAAATCCCAATTGGGAGACAATGTTCTTGAACAACTCTTGTATTTTGTGCAGTATGTTATAGAGAATGAAATTCATCAAATAATAGCTTATTATATAGATGTTTAATATTGTATTTTGATTTTACATAATACATATATTGCATTTGTGCTATCAAATGGAAATTAAAAAGGAATTATATTAGTTGGAGTACAAGATTTAAAAAATATATAAAATAGCCTTCATGATGTAATTTATAGATTACCTGTATAGTCTAATACATAATACTCAATTAGAATATTTTTTATAGAAGATTAAAAATAATGTTGAGTATGTTTTTGTTATTTCTATTTTCCTGAAATCTTATATCAATTTTTTGTTAAAAAATTAGTTTGGTTTTTTTAAATGCTATCATTCTTCCTTCCCACATAATATATCAGTATTTTAATACTATTAGAGAATTAAAAAAAAGAGAAATTTAATACATAAAGCCTTTAAAATCATATTTTATAAAATTTTTTTTAAATAAAGACATTTTATTAAAAGATAAATAATGATTATTTATATCCATAAAAATTTGATTACTTAAAGCAAAATTAAAGTAACTGTAGTGAAGATAAACTAGGTATTTTCTAGGAAAATCAAACAGCTCAACAACATAGAAAACTAAAACTGTGTGTAAAAAGGGTTTAAAACTGATCTAAATCCAAAATAAAACATCGTTATAGAAATTGACAGCAAGCAGAAAGTTGAATGACATGTAGCATGCAACTAGCTTACAATTGGCAATCAGTCCATAAACTTTACAAGGCAAACTTTGGTCTTGAATATCTCAGAACATAGACTGAATTTCAAAATTCTGGGTTTGTCACAATATTAACTTGCATTGCTGAACCGTACGTTTCTAAAAAATCATGTTGAGTGATCATGCAGTTGCTTTAAACTTCAATCACAGATGAAGTATTTTCTTATGCAAAGCTCTGCTTATGCTCCATTCAGTTATTATATTATAAAAAAACAAATTTATAACTAAAATTTATATACAAAATATAGTTTTATATATTATCAAGAAAATTAAAATTATTATTGTGAATATGGCATTAATTACGGATTTATATTTAATTATATGCATATTTGTAATTAATTATAGTATAGTTTTTTTAAATTTAATGACATTAAATTAAAAAGAAAAAAAAAACATTATTTTTTCAAATGTACTCAATTATGACAGATTTTTACTATTTATAATTGATCTACCTGATATTCAATTTCTAAAAATGTTCATTATTAGTTAATTATTGAATCAATTTTGCAATATTTTGTATTTTTATTGTTTAAAAAAGTTATGAAAAGTTTGAATTGACAATTTACCTTTCTATTCTTTCTGGTATAATTATATCATCTGGAATTAAAAAACTTCACTCAGAAAACTTGCAAATTATTTTCAAAATAAATGATTTGTACTCAAATCTTTATATATTCATAAAATTTTAAAAAATACCATATTTGAATCATGTTCAAAATATGTATTTGATTTTAAATAAAGTATTTAATTTAAAATTGAATACATTTTTGAAAGCTTGATTCAACTTTCATTCTGTTTAGAATTTTATATATTAATAAGTACTTTAAGAACAAAATAGAAGAAAAGACAAATGCAATCATCAAAACTTTTATTCACAAACCTGAAACAGCAACATTATTTTCTTTATTGGTAGTTAATGAACTGCATCTTCTAGTATTTTGAATTCTAGAAAAATATTTTAATAGAAATATATAAACTTCTCTTTTGTAGTAAAATTTATCAATCGCTATTTGAAATAATTAAATTAAATTTATAATCATTAGAGTATCTTATAAGATAAATGTAATACAAGTTTAGAATTTAATTGTTCCATAAATTGAAAATATTTTCTAATTATGTATAGAGCCATCTGTAAATGTTATCATGCTAAAATTCCTTATTTTTAACCTCTTTCTCTCTCCCATGTCACTCACCACATTAGGACAAATGATGTTACACTGGTAGTTATTATCCCCAAGAAAGCCTTTGTATTATTACAACATAAATATACTGTATTAGTTATATAATGGATAACAACATATAATGATTTATTTAACTTTTATCAAAGATAAAACACTACATAAAATAGCATTTTAATAAACATTTTATTTCTGCTGCAAGTTACTAGCAAGAATAATTACATTTATAAAAAATAAATTGATGCACTTAAATTTAGAAACGCAAAGTTCTTTCATTCCTATAGGCTTATGAGATGTTCTTCAATTGACACAATCAGTATATTGAAGACATATGTGCTCATAGAAATGTCTTGTTCTGTTATATCTATATCATCAATATCCATCCATTCAGAATCTTCTGCATTATAAATGCAAACCAATGATTCACATTATCTCATAGTAGCAATTCTCACAGACTTTACTTTCTCTGTAAATTATTCAGTACTTACATATCAGTGCTATGTTGTTTGTGAGCAACAAAGCTCTTAACAGAACTGTGGTAAATTTCACAATGTGTACATACTCTATAAAGGATGGTTTTGATGATAGAACAACAATATAAGTCATATGCAACATATTTAAATTTTCTACAACTTTGCAGTAAGATGTTATTCAATGTTTTCCTAACAAACTAAGGGAAAATTCTGTCATGTTTAGAATTTGCTTCCAGTAATTGAAGACCATTCGTACTATATACTAAGCTAATTGGAGTAGGCAGAAAGTAATTTTGGCATAACAAGTAAGTGCACATGTCTGCAGGGAGAGCAGCAAATCTCTTCTTTGCATTTTACTATCTGAACCAAGTATTGCAATTCTCTCACCTGAAATGATTGCCAGACTGGTGATTTCATGCTTCCTTCGACATGCAATTGCTTCTTGGCTCAATGTATCTGGCAATTACTGGGTATTGTCAATTATTCAATTATAATATCAGACCAAACTTCTGCTGTATCTTTTGTCAAAAAGCAGTTTTGAAGAAATGTTCCAAGTCTTCATTAATTGTATTCCCTTTCTTATCAAAATGTCTACAATAATGTTTGTGAAGGAGAATTCTCCTGTAAGCTCCCAAGAAAAAATGCCATTCTTCTCTCTACTCTGTTAAATGCCGACATGCTCAGAGCATTTTTGGCAATAAACAGAGTATCAAGATTGTGTTCTTGAAAGATAGATTGGCTACCATCTCTTATCTGATTAAAATTAATTAATAACCTGGAACTTAATGCCTAACTCTAGTACCTCAGATTCCTGCATATATTACTTTTGAGTATTGTGGATTTTCATCTGGTCCTCCATCCACTATGATAATCACTGCTAGCTTCTTGCTGCCATTTGTTATTGTGTATTTGGCAAACTCATCATTTCTATGTCTTGTGCATGTATAATGGCAGTAGATGAATCTTGTTTTCCACTGAGAAGTGCAATAAAAGTAGGGCCTGAATATATAGGTTTTCCATATCATCTGTCTTTATTGAAGTAGCTGTATACACTGATGGAAATAGTTTCTGTATTTTTTGCAACAATCTAATCATGATCAGGCAACTTAATTCTGTTTTCCAAATACATCAAAAGTGATGGTTGTTTGTTGCTACAGGAAATCCTATTGGAACTCTGGCCTTATTTAACGCAGGAAAAATACCTTAGCAGGTTCAAAACAAAAAACTAAAATGGTTCTTTGTGATAAATTATCGATGCTTTTACAAACTCTCCATCAGGATGCTTTGAATGCAAGTCTGGTTGAGATTTGACTGCTTTACTGGCACTGTTACATCATGCTTCTTACCTTCACCTGAGGAGGACTGTGATAGATAGAACAAGGAAACTCTGATTTGGCTAACTTTAATTACCATTCAATCCAACTCACAGATCAATTTGCCAGGTGTCTTAACTGCACTTATTATATCATTCAGTGGCATAGTATAGTGGGGGCGGCAGGGGCGGCACTTTTAGGGGGCAGCAAAATTTCACAATAAATAATAATATCTTGTAAAAATTTGAACCACTTCATTTCATATTTTTGTCGCACCTAGGATTCGGACATTGAAATGAGCATGGAATTTTTCATTACTTATTCTGTGATAAAACTAAATTTTAGTCCTTTAAGGGGGCGGCGAAATTTTCCTCTGCCCCGGGCAGCTGACATCCACGCTACTCCACTGATATCATTCCTTCTTTTATTATTTGCAGCACAAATAAAAGTTGCAACTTGATTAACAGTAAATGTAAAGCATTATGTCAAAAGGATCATTTCTCTCTCCTCTCTCCTCTCCCATTTCACATTGTAAATCCTCTCCCTCTCTTTTTGACAGACAGACGGCCAAGCAGTTAAGGCCTACCACTCTGGACAAACCAGGATCAAATCCGGACGTAATTAGGGACTTAGTCAAACCCAAAACAGACTTACTAAAAATGCCCTCTTAGTGCTTACAGGGCAAAAAGAGACGGGGAAAAACACTCTCCCATGAAATGTGACATTATTTATGGGCAGCTCCTATGCTATAAAGTCATTTTATGTACATTATAAATTAAATTGGCGTTCTTTAATGTATATTCATTGATTAATTTTATATTTCTAATTGGTTAATGTTCAGGGTCGGAGACCATCATGGCGGCTCTTCCTGTTTTAGCCTCGAAACCGGACCGCTTTGGAGACGACGTGTCACGTGACGACGCGAGCGAACGGCGGCGGCTGCTGCGCCGCGATAAACGGGGAAAACCGACGCGCGGGTTAACGTCCATATACGTAGACTCATGGCGGCTCATCTCTGATTCCGCAAAAAGAAAAGGAAACAGTGGGGACGCACGTTCTAACCTAACCTAACCTATTCTGATAAATTATCATAATTATTACCAATTATATTATTAGAATAGGTTAGGTTAGGTTAGAACGTGCGTCCCCACTGTTTGCTTTTGTTTGCTGGAATCAGCGCCGGCGCTGCCGCGGCGCAGCAGCCGCCGCCGTTCGCTCGCGTCGTCACGTGACACGTCGTCTCCAAAGCGGTCCGGTTTCGAGGTTAAAATAGGAAGAGCCGCCATGATGGTCTATGACCCTGGACATTAACCTTCTAATTTTATGAAACAGGGATTGCAGAGTGCTAATTAAGAAACTTTTATCTCTGAGGAGATAAAATCATGCCTTCTTTTAATTCATAAAAATTGTCTGTCACTTACCCTAATTTATTTACAATTCTAACAGGAAATCTTTTCAGAAACTGTAACGAACACACACATGCATTGGATGTCGCCATCTTATGTTTTCAATTTACAGTGTTGCCAACCTTGCCGCATCTTGATAAAAAATTCATATTTTAAAAAAATAACGCATATATACGTTTTAAACTCTTTCCGCCCTGAAGAAATTTAGAAGGCTTTATTCCATACTCACCGTGGCTTTGATGACCAGATCCACAATGGGAGATTCGAGCCGACATATCCTGAACTGACTGACTACCTTGAAAATTTTCTGGTGAGTAACTCGCCTGGATTCGATGTTCCGATGCTGGATTCCGTGTTCCGGAGGGCGGAAGGCTGACGCCTTTATTGTCTTGGCCATCTGTCGTCAAATAACGGTAAATATTGCATAAATGTATAAATAATAGGACGAGCTTGAGGGCCAAGGCTGTTAAGGCGCCATCCTACCGCTCTGGGAACCTAGGATCGAATCGGGAGAGCAAGGTTATATATATCAAGCACTTTTACGATAATTTTTGGAACTTTTTTACTCAATCCAAGGGAAGGGCAAGTGTCCCATTTGTCTCTTTCTGCAAACGCCCATGTTTCTCTCTCTGTGTTCTTAGCTTTTTGTCGATCTGCTCCAAATTATTCTTGCTTACTTCGGACTCTAAGGAAAGTATGGACTACTCCGAAACCTGGACCATCCCGGTATAGAAGGAGCTTATGGTGTATAATACTCTTCCCTAATTTCATCCCCCTTAGTAACTCCTAAACACTTTGTCCGATCCACACCAAATTTTTCATACTTATTCTCTGTGATTCTGAGAAAAATACAATTTCCATGAAATCTGGATACCCCACTCTCTCTCTGATCTGCTATATTAATTAAAATAACCAAACTTGTAATATGGTTGTAATTTTAACGTTTACCCTTCTTTCTTTTTTGACCGAACAATGCGCACATATCTGTAAGTTACTAATAAAACAAATACGGCTAAGATCAAAATGTCTGGCTAGGGACCTGTATACCTGTGTCTCTAGCCCGGTCTTGGCTATAAGTACGGAGAGGCTGGCCTAGTGTGGTCCTTTTAGGTGCCACTCTCGACTATTGCACCTGTCCGGTGTGGATAGTGGCTGATAAGCGTCCATCCCGGTATAGAAGGAGCTTATGGTGAGAGAGTGGAGTTTCAAACTTTAAAACAAATAATTATGAATTCTAATCAATATATAAAGTTTGAAATATTTTTATAAATTTAAAATACTGGAAATTAATTTGATTATTCCCAAAAACTCGTGGAACGTTTTATTTAGTTCGAGATAAAACGTTCATGCGAAATGAAGAACACTTTAGTAATTCCGACCGAAATCGTCCGATACTCGGTGTGGAATTGTTCCTAGTGGTCCGGAATGGTTCCTTTAGATCGGTTCCGACCTACCTCTATTATGTGTAGCATAACTTGTGTGTTAGCGTAGATCTAGATAATTTGGCGATCTTCTGTAATGAGCGAAGGATATTATCACCAATTTCTGTACATTTTGTATCCTGAATGTATTTTTGAAGTTCGGTAGGGTGTGTCCTTCTTCATGATAACTAGCGTTTTTCTTTTATCAGTTTTTGCTTTTATCTTAAGTTTACATTTAGGCTATATTTAAATTACAACAGTTTCCATTTATTTGTGTTCCACAAATTAAATTGAAATGATAATTGTATTAGGTTTATATCATAATGGAATAAAATGTTCTAATATCCTAATGGTTTCAAGAACAACTAAAAACGTTTGATTTCGATAATTGTTGCTGATACGGGTAAATGCTTTTTTTTTTTTTTTTTTTCCTGTTTATCAATATGAGTAACCAACCAGTTACGAACAATTTTTTCATATGAAGGACTATAATCAGACTTGAATCTGGATACGCTAGAATATATTTTCTCACCGTCGTAAAACATTTGCTATTTCATCATTTACTTTTCATTATCATTAATCCCTTTATTTGCTGTTATTTACAGTATTGGGTAATTTTTTCGGCAAAATTTCACAATAAATAATAGTAATATCTTGTAAAAATTTGAACCATTTCATTCCATATTCTCGTCGCACCTACGATTCGGACCGATTGAAATGAGCACGGAATAGTGTTACCATCCAGACAATCAGGGAATCGACTCGTCGCGACGAGTCGTCCGGGTGAACTATTAATTTTTCCCGGCGATACCGTGCGAGAAAACCTGTCGTAGTCATATACCCCTCCAATATCCAATAGAGCTAAGTCATATAGGTTACTTGCGGTACTCCTACCCAAGTCTCCCTAGTCCCTAACTGTAACTGATTTAGAACCGGCGTGCACTGCACATTATTCTTCACATTGCAAAATCACATTACGCATGCGTCAGGAACTTGTTCGAACAAACCTCACCTGCCGTCCGGGTCAGAGATTTTAAAAAGGTGGCAACACTAGGACGGAATTTTTCATTATTTATTCTGTGACGAAACTGAATTTTAGTCTTTTAAATTGAGATACTTAAATAAGGGGACGGCGAAATTTTCCTTTGCCCCGGGCAGCTGACACCCACGCTAATCCACTGATAATTAGAAATTTTAGTCACACACTCCGCGAACGTGGCATCTGTTTAATTAAACATTCTTGTGGAACGCGTTCCTATATTCCGGCCGCCGGAGAAGCATCGTCAGACAGTCAAATACGACTGCTTGTAGTAGTAGTTTCCGGGCCAAGCGGTTCCGGAAACTACTGGAAGTTCGGTCGTGGGTTCACGCCTCACCAGGAGGGCTAGCCACGTGGAGTTTTCCGGGTTTACGTCTGTAACGCATGAATAGGGGCCAGTGACTCTTAAAAAACTCCCGGAAGGCATTATTTTCCGCGTAACGACCATCATATATGCATACTAATATTATTACATGACAATTACGTCACACTTTCCACGAGGCAATATAGCCTAGAACAGGCATGGCCAACATACGGCCCGCGCTACGACATACGCATTAGACGGGCCGGATCCGGCCCGTCTAATGAATTTATGCGGCCCGCGATTAATCTTTCAATATCAGCTACTCAAGTCGGAATAGCTCGACGAAGAAATCTCACGTTATAAAAAAAAAAACAAAAAGTCAAGAACTCACTGCGTGTTTAGAATTAACGCTCCATTACAATGTCTTAAGCACAGCATAGAATGTCGATAATGCATGATAATGTGAAAAATGTATCTGTAATCTCTATGTACAGTACAATTTAGTCTCTACGGGGTGATACCACAATGAGATCTCGCACCACCTCAAAATCTTATTAGGGCAGCCTCTGGTTCGGCCCGGGGCAAAAACTGTTGGCAATCCCTGGCCTAGAAGCTCGTGCCCAACTAGCCGATACGATTGTAGTTCCCGATGGAAAGCAACACGGCATAAAAACATATAACAGGCACCGAAACGAAGAGCCATGGATTCCCATGGCTCTTCGTTTCGGTGCCTGTTATATGTTTTTATGAATGAAAATTTAGAAGTTATGAAAGTGCATGTTAATGCACACGATGATTTAGTAAATGTCATCTCAATTTTTTTTCGAATAGTAGCCAATACTCTAATTTTTCGTAGCTACTTTTAATGCTGTTAGCAAGACAATCCATTCGGTTATTAATTTTTAAAATTGTAACCCTTTTTAACTTTTGTCTCCAAAAAACGCATATTTTAAAATCAGAGATCCCGCCATCACGATATTATCGATAGATACGAGCGTCGCCATATTTTTTTCTTTCATCGTCGTTCCGAAATACTTAAAAACAGCAGCTCATGCTCGGAGTGGCGGAGACGCGGAGCGACCGCTGTTAAAGAAGGCACCCTTGAACAAAATATAATAGCCTTCCAATACTTAAAAGCCTATCTCCTTCATATTCATGAGGGTATAGAAATTTAAACAAACTTTTAAATGCTAGAAAATATTATAGGTAGATATATTAAAAAATTATTTTGTTATAAGCAAGTTATCGATAATGGAAAAATATTCCAAAAGTAATCTACCGAAAAGCTTACAAATGCTCATGCTTCATTTTCCCGGTACTCGAACACGAGGTTTATGGGACCGTGAAGGAAGTATTTTAATTTTCAATTATAGTACGATATATAATTTAAATGACAACAAACGCATAAAAGAAGTAATTTTGTGAAATATGATAGATAGATTTCTCCATTAAAAAACACTAAGGCTCATTAATTCAAAAATTTAAAATTGTGTATGACACCATCTGTTATGAGATTTTATAAAAAAATAATTTTTGGTTTGTTTTATCCATATACAGCATCGCTACACATTTGGGCGATCTGCAGAGAGGAATGCCCCAGGAAGATATTTTATGGGAAACGCTCCTATTTAAGTGTTACAAACGTGAAGAAAATCAGGAAACTTCATGTGGCCAAGCGTGAACTCATGACCAGTGATCAGTGGTTTTATCCATTTGACCATAAGTGGAAACAAAAATAATTTTTACAATTATTATGAAAATTTTCAGGATAGATGAATTTTAGAATTTCAGGATAGAGATGAATTTTAAGTTGTAAATATGTTTTTATTAAGCCCGACCACTCTACATATATGACATGATCCCCTCTATTTCCCCATTCCCTTGATCTTTATCCATCATAATTTAATAGCATCAATGCTCCACATACAGAAATAACCAATCTAAGTTTCAAAAGTTTTGATTCATTCAGTCCTCATATATAATGTAACCTATACAGAGTTTTGTATTTTTTCTTTTTTTTTTTTTAATTTTTGGGCTTGAATGTCAAAAAAGGGGCGTTCAAAATTTGACTGATCACCATATTTTTCCTTTGTTGTATTCTATAGCTACTGAATAAAATCTTATTAACTGTAGCAAAAAACTAATTATAAAAAAAAAATTAGACAAATAGCCAGTATTTTGGTATACAGTAATACCTCGACTTACGCGATTTTCAAATCTCGTCGATTCGTCTTTTGTTTGAGCGCCACGCAACCCTTGATTACTCACTCCCCCCACACTATTGTTCAGCTTACATGTTCGGATGTGTCGCGCGGAATCCACACATAGCTACAATTTATTTTGTGTTATTTATTTCTGTGTTTGTTATATCTACGGAGACTCGAGAGACTCTACTATGTCATCCAAACGAAGTAGAACTGATTCTTCTGCATCAAACAAGAAAAGAAAAACTTTATCTTTGGAATGTAAAGTTAACATTGGGTATGTTCGTAAAGTCGAACGAGTTAAACGAGAATGACGTCATCGTTATTCCTATTTCGTTAGACTTTTCGAACGATTCGTTACTAACGCGTTTAACTCGTTTGACTTTACGAACGTACCCATTATTAAAGACTTCGATACAAAAATGAAAATTTGTGAATTGGCAAAGAAGTTTGATCTACCGGAATTGTCGGTCAGAACAATTATAAAAGGCAAAGAAAAAATTCTCGAAGCTGTGAAAAATGCTCAATCTTTAAATTCAAGCATCATTCGTAAACGTCACAGTATTATCGCTGAGATGGAAACGATGTTAAAATTATGGTGTGATAATCAAGTAAACGTGAAAAATTGTATAATATAATTTGTTATACATATATATTATCTAAGATTTTATTCAACATTTTTTTTTAAATTATTATTTTATTTAGTCTCCGGCCCCAATTAAAAATTATTTGTATGTATTTATATGCGAAATTATACCCCGACTTACGCGGCTATCGCTCGGTCCCACCTATTGCGTAAGTTCGAGGTATTACTGTATTTTGTTATTGTTTTATTTGTATAATATACTATTATAATATAGTGTCTTTTTTTTCTTTTGCATCATTGCAAAAGTTAAACTGTAAAAACAATAATACATGTTCATTAAAAATTGTCCTTAGAACAAATACACAAGATATTTTTCTTACTCTTATACTCTTCCATAGAAACAGTGTCTAGGACCTGGTCTGAACCACCTTCTGTCATGGGCTTTTAAGTGTTGTTTAACTACACCAAATAGCTACACCAAAATTATGCCACTGAAAAGAAAACACCACTATTCCCTACACCCAAAATGAAATTTAGTTCTACAAGTAGAATTTTGTAAATATTGATGATGTTCCAAATGAACCAGTATGGCCTAATTTTAAGAAAAATAAAATCAGATCAAATTTGAAGGTTGATTTATGAAGTATAATTGTGATCAGGACTGATTAAGTAAGATTTGTGTAAGAAAACAAACATGTGATATAACTTTAAATGCTGTAATTCTGGTTCTTGAAACAAATCAACAAAATTATTATTATTGACTTTACAAACTATCAACATTTGTACAGTAACTTAAATAAGTTTGATTTAAATGCTTTTGCCTTTTAATATTAATGTAGTGTAAGGAGTTAAAATTATATGAAAATTTTTATGTTCATTATTTTCATTATTATATTAGCTTGATGAACAAATTCCTTTAAAATTAAAATACTAAAAAAAATTGAATATTGATTATGTCCCACATATGCATGCAGTATTCTTGAGATATACACAGGACATACTACAACTGACCCATGAGAAATAAGACAAATGCAAATTGTCCAGTATCCTGATTGCCTACTAAAACTTAACAAAGAAATTTGAAATCAGAAGTTATTTTGAACTTCATGAACAACTTTTGAATCACCCAAGAAATCCTAGGATCATTGCTATAATTTAATTAAAAATATAACAAAATCTTAATTATTGCCATTTTAAATTTCATGATACATAATTTAGAATATTTATAGATAACTAAAAGTTCAGAAAGTTTATAATTGTGAAAAATGCTTGTGTATGTTTTTTAAAAAAGTAATGAAACAATCATTATTTCTGATTTTAAAATTTCAATATTTATTATTACTTTATAAATAATCTGATAGTCACATAGAAAAATAATATTTTAAGAGTTGTCATGTGTTTTTGGCATGGTTGTAATCAATCCTTGTATCTTTCCTAATATGATTTCATTAGTACAAAAACATTGATTAGTTCCATATGGAGGAAGAATTTTCACACATTCTGCCACTTCTAAAGCATCATCAATTTCCTTAACAGGAAGTCTATTTTTTATTAACCACAACTTCAGTCTATTTTTTCTATCGTTTACATCTTCTTTAGAATATAATTCTTCTTCTTGTTGGAAAAGAGATTCTAATTGAGAATGATAATGCTCTTCTGTGCATACAATATTTATAAATTCAATAGTATGGCCCATGATTATTTGTATCGTGACAGGTTTCCTTTCTAGAAAATTAACCAAGACAACACTACAAGAAACAGAAAAGTGAAATTAGGTTATTTTTCTTTTAAAAAATATGTTTAAAGTAATATAAAAGTAAACTGTACATTATCTTACAATATAAACAAATGTGATTTTAATGATAAAAATGCACCATTTAATATAAAGCAGGTTAAACATGTTTAACACAAAAAATTATTATTCTTTTTTAAAGTGAAGCTAAATTGAGTTATTGAATAAAATAATTCTTAACTAAATTAATGTAATTTTAAAATAAAATGAAAATTTTTTGATTGACAGATTTGTAGACTCATTTGTGTTTGGATTCATGGCATTGTTGAATTTTGTCTGTTTTTCTCTAAACTTTTCATTGGGATATTTATCACTCTTTTTATTTATATATTTTTCTACAAACCTATTCTATTGTATTTTATAGAAAAACTGTAAAGTCCACAAATCTACATCATTAGACCTGTGCAGATGTAGCCACTAGTGCTGTGACTGAACAGTTTCTTAGATGCTAGTGCTCTTAGATATTCTAAATACTGTATATATGTGTATTAATGCATTTGTAATATTCAAATTTTTTGTATTTCCTTGACTTATTCTTCATTTATCTGTTTATAAAGGTAAAGGTAAAGTAAACCTACTGGTTATGCCACTAGCCACTGATATTCTCAGAATTAATAGTAAAGTATTGTGCCCATAACTGATCCTGCAATATTTCCAGCCAAATTTGTCAAAATATGCTTATTGTGAGTTATATGTATTTTTCTTTAATACTGCACTTTAAAATTCACATACTAATATATCAATTTACTTTATTTAATAATATTGTAATAATAGAATATCAATTATCTTATTTCTGAAATATCCATACAATTCTTATTAAATTATGTCAATTGACAATATTTTAAACAATATCAACTGATATTTAATACATTAACATTTCATATCAAATTATTTCATTTTTGAGGCAGAGCATTAGCAAAGCCTCTTCTATGTGGCTTACAGAATTGTGTTTGTTCCCAAAATCTGTTCAATCAGTTTTGATTAAACTTTGCCATTTTCCATTAATTGCAATGAGGAATCCAAAAATGTAATAAAAATAATAATAAGGGTCTACAATTTCGTTTTTGAGATATAGAGTTGTTTCACAGGCATGTGTGACAAAGTGATGTCACATGAATCATGTGTTGTGCAATGTTTCATGGTCGCTAGCATATCTTCTATGAGTTTATAGAATCAAGTTCATTCACAAAATTTAATGGGCTGATTTTGATAAAACTTTGCCATTTTCTATTAATTGCTGTGAGGAATCTAAAAATGTAATGAAGGTCCATTTACATGTAAAAAATTAGAGTCCATGACTTTGTTTTTGATATACAGAGGTATTAAAGTGACAATGTCTGTGTTCTGTGATGTGACTGAGTGCATCTAATGGAATTTAGGCCTAGGGGTCAAAAATAAGAACAGCATTACATGCACCTAATAGAAAGTAGGAGCAAAAAATGAACAAAACACAAGAACAAAGTAATCAATGGCAATTACTGTTCTTGGATCGTCTCTGTACCAGGCCAGTGCAAGGATCGTGTCTCTCATGGCTGACAAGTACAAGGATCTCTTATGTACCTAACAAGTGCATGGATCATTTCTTCCTTTCTGGCTCCACCTCAATTTTATTGGAATATAACAAAATCGCACAATGACCTAGTTTCATTTAACATTAATATATCATTTGATATGAAATTTTCATTTGTCATTCATAGTCCAAAGTATTCATTCTAAACAATTCATATTAAATGATACCTGTTGATACTATTTCAAATGATAATGATTCACATAATTTAACAGTCACTAATATCATTTCAATTATTTCAAATATCAATTGATTTTTTTACTAGAGATTAGTTTGGGAAAAAGTAAAATAATGTGACCAGTTTTAAAAATCCAGCAATGAATTGCATAACTTTCCTGGATTCACCAGGAAAGTTTGCAACATCATCTCTTATTGAATTCTATTTGCCAAGTTACATGATCCAGGCTTTGCACATATATTTTTAGAAAAATTTCCTAGGACAAATTCTAAATCTATTACATGCATATTTTTATTTATTTATTTTGACTAGTAACTAACACAAAATGTCTTCTAACTGTAACACTGCACTGAGTAATAACTGTCCACAAAAAACCTTTATATATCAGTGTTGTATATCCACTAACGTTTTTGACCTCTAACGAGGTCTTCTTCATGTGCTGACTAAGCGGTGTCTCCCCTTGACCATTGAAACTATGTCGTCTAGTTGTAAATATTGTACATATCACGTTTCATCCCTCTGCTTGTCCCCGTTTGAATTCCTCGAATAGATATCTCCACACCTGCACGATCATCTCTCCATCTTTAAAGTTGATACAGGTGCCCCCAACATTGGCTTTATAGATCTCCCAGGCCTCCAGGTGATGGATGCAATCAATTTGAAATGCCTGTCTGATTAATTTGGTGTTCAAGAAGTCCACCCAAATTTCAGGATCGCTAACATACGCTGTCAAGGTGATGGTGCGTCTGTTATTTTTAATGTCCAATTGATGCTTGCGTAACCGTTTTTGTGTTGAGTGCACAGTAGAACCGATATAAACACAACATTGATATATAAAGGTTTTTTGTGGACAGTTATGACTAGTAACTATTTAAAATGAAACTATATATGGTGCAATCTGTTATAAGAGGTTATTAAAAGATAACTTTTATGTTGTTATTATTAATTATTATAAAAGGCAAACAAATTTTTAAAAATATTGTAAATTCCAATAAGGAGTAAAATTTTCATTACATCTGACCACACTCAAGATATGTGATCTCCTCTATCTCCCCACTCATTCGAGTTCTGTACTCCAAAATTAAATTCCATTTGTATAAAAGTTATGATGTCAGATTTCATTTCTTAATCTTTACCCCACCCTGAGATATTAAACAAAATAAATGCCAATCCTGGAATTTTTTTCTACTTTTTTGGATTCAGGGGTCTAAAAATGTTGAAATTTACAAAAAACCCAGAGAGCCAAATTGATACAATTACAAATTTTCCTGTGTTATGTTATAATAGCAGGAAAAGTAATAGTAGTGAAAAGCATTCATTTTAATCATATATTGTATACTAATTTTCAACATAACCATTATTTACAGTGATACATTTTTTTCAAATTTTCAATTTTGTATTTTACAAATGGAAAAACTTTCCAATTTTCCTTGATCCATTCCTGTTCATCAGCTTGAATTTTGGCATTGATAAAAAGCATTAATTGTTCAACAATTCTTTAATTTTGGAAGCATTCAAAAGGCTAACATACCTAGATTTCAGCTATAAATAGATTGCAGATTATTCCTTTTCATTCTTACAGTGCAGATACTGTCAGACTTTTGGTTTCTCCAAAATTTATGAAGACATTTAAAGGTTGTTCCTTGTTCTTCCTTGACACCTTTAATCAGACGTCTAAGCCAAAGTTCAAGATATATGGGAATGGATCTATGAAAAACCAGAATATTTTCAAAACTCAATCCATTTTATCATTCTATGAATGAAAAAATGGATTGAGTGTGGAAAAAGTCAATACTATAAATCTCTGTCATTAGTGATGACATTTATTTTATCATCACTTTTCAATAATGCAATTATCATTGATATAAATTTTTTGTGTGTATTTTAGGAAAATGATGCAACAAAACTTTAATATTTTAAACTTTTAATTGATATCTACTCTATTTGTTCTAATTTCTTCATCTTCTACATATTTATATTGGTATAGCTATAAAACAAAAGATTCCAAAAATTTTACATAATTTATGTTTCACTAGAAAGTATTAATGACGCTGTGATTTTCACAACTTTAGTGTTGTTTCTATTAGGAAACCGTCCAATTCTCATTAATAGCATTTCAGAGTTTGTGCAGTTTCATTCTATCTTATTTACGACTTGCACATAAAGCTGATTAATATCTAAAATTATGAGTATAATTTTCTTTGCTATCATGTTAAAAACTCAAATAATGCCCACGTGTTTAGTGCACGTGTTTTGTTTACTTTCAATGAAGATAATACTTTGTTGGGACAAGTCAACCACTCCAATAATCATCTTGCATTTATTATTAGGTTTATATTATTGTATTTTAATAATAAAATTGCTTTATTAACAACTTTTAGATATTTTTCAATATATTTACCTTTCAGAAACAGGATCAATGGTTTTAACCCAACCTCTAAATATCTTTCCTCCATTAACTTTCACCTCAACCTCCTTATTTACATAACTAAATAACTTTATGGGATCATTCTTGAATACGGGATGAACATATTCCTCGTCAGCATTTTCCGCACTTGCTCCGTCATTCCCACCATTTGACATTTCTAACATGTGACATTCGTATGCACAAGTGCTGCCAACTTCAAATGCCAAAAATTCTTTTGTTCATAAATTTATTATTCGAACTAAAATTTGTAAATAAATGAATATTTCTGTCGACAATATAAACATTTTCAGTCTAAAAATTTAAATATATTTTTTTTAACTTGAAGAAAAATTTATATTATACGAATATTATTTTACAATTGGAATTTATGCGGTAGACTCTCGATAACACGAAGTGGGAGACGGAGGAAAATTTTTGAATTAACTGAAATTTCGGGTTCCTCTTTGGCAAATATGGGAATTTTCTAGCTATCTTCTTCTACGTGTAGTGGGAGCGGGATGTTTGTCCTTAACAAGATTTACTGTATTTCTTTTTCATCTTCAACGCTTGTTTCTCGCACTTAGTTCTGTATCTTTATCGCGTGTTTCTGGCGCAACGGCAATGATGCCTATGATGTGTCGACGTTGACAAAATCCTAGAATTACATTTTTTCACCACTCATTGCTGTACTGAGATCGGCTCAGTCTTCTTTGACATTGTCGAGAATTCCGATTTTCATCATAGTTGTCAATAGATTGTCCCTTTGAATTTGCTAAGGCGCATCGTGAAACTTCATTTTGAACTGTGTTAAACTTCTGTTTTATTGTTGGAATTAAGATTACAATACCAAGAAACCATAAACTTTTTCTGAGTCATTCATTCATTCACCAAGAACCTAGTGCAGTAGTGTGAGGTCCCAAAAATGAGTTGAAATTAAACTTTTATTATTAGAAATTTATTAAAACGAAACTAGAAAAAAATCGTCTATTGTTAAAAACCGATCAAAGATCGAATTAGTTGTTCTAGTCATATGAAACCGCGACGAGAGAAAAAAAAACGCTATTGATGTAAACAGAACGCAATAATTATAAGTGATTACTAATTGTAAACGAACGACCTCTAGTAGAGATGGACCCTTAATTTAACAAGTCGCTCATATACAAATAATTAGAACATAGAAATTTTGAAAAGAGGAAAGGTTAATGACGAAAAGGGACATCGCGTCGTATCGTTAAATTTCAAAAACCTCACAGACTAGACAACAATGGTGGAAAATATGAGTGCAAGTTTCAAAGTTCCATCAACATTTTGCATCCAGAGTAACGGATGGTGTCAAGTAGATTCTTCGAAGCGGATCTTTCTGGTGACTCGAACAGGAATCGTCTTTCGCTTAGAGACAGACGAGAGACCAATCGGGGAGCGAGAAAAAAGGGACGTGGAGCCAATCAGAAGAATACAAAAGTTGTGCACCTGTACACGATTAGTCAACGCGAAAAAGCAGTTTTCCATCTGTTGTGCCCAACTTGTAACCTGTGACTACGGACTCAGACCGCCGATACCGACTGACGAATCTCCACACCTGCTGTTGCCCCGGGGCCTTCCTTCAAGCAACATTAGAAACACCTTCGACAATTCGAACCTCCAATTGTATAAAGAACATTTTTGTTCTTTAGTGTAAGTTTACTTTTATGTTTAAAATAAACGGGTTTTTGTGAGATTCTTGTCATCCGTGTCTCCTCCGCCACTCCCACACGCGAACGACCCTAGATCATCCTGACGCGGGATTAACGATTCCCCTGGAAATCGGAAAACTTACACTGGTGTCCGAGAAGTGGGATTTTAAGTCTCCAATCTCCACCAGGTCAGCGAACTTACAGTAGTAACGAAAAAGAAGCTTAAAACGTTTACGACAATAGGTTTATTGTAATGAAAGTTCAAATGTCGTGTTACAAAAAAAATTTGCCTACCACTTTAAAGTGTGAGAAGATATTCGTTATTCTGACATTTATGACCGTAACAGTTTTGTGGAGGCTTAGGTGTAATTTTTTTAAAATAAATCATTTATTGAAAAAATCAAAAAATTATACCTACTTGATTTTTTCTTTCTTTTTTTAAAACTCTTTTCGCCCTGTTGGCACTAAAAGGCCCTCTTTTTGCAAGCCCATTATGGGTTTGGCCAGGCTCACAATGGGGCGGCGATTGGATCACCCCCCGTAAAGTTCCTGGGGATTATTTGACCCGTCTGAATTCGATCCCGAGTCCCTCAGAGAGTAGATTGCCATTTTGACTGCTCGGCCATCCGACCATACCTACTTGATAACTACACAGCAGACAAATCCCTATATCGATTTTTGTTAGTCGCTTAGATCATAAATGATATTATACTGTGTAAATGCGAGAATATCAAACACATTTCTCATCCCTTGAAGTAGATCGCCTTCGTAACTGGACATTCGAACTCTGTCTAAACCGACCTTTTTCCACCCTACCGTTCATAACAAGTTACATCTTTCTTTGTCGTTCTTCTGTCCATATCGTTTTTTGATGAATTAATAATTAATTAATGTACGAATATATACGTTTTGTCGTAATTTTTGTGTCATTTAAAGTGATTGTCTAATCCGTTTGCTATTTAGAATTCAATTAAAATGATATTTTTACAGTTGTATACTGTAAAAATATCATTTTAATTTTACAGTTGTACAGTTTTATACTGTATATATATTACATATATATACAGTATACAGTGTGATATACTGTATATATATTATATATATACTGTATATATATATAATATACACGGATATATTATATACGGGTATATATAATATATATACTCCGTATTTTAATTATATATCCTACGTATACTGTCTCTGATAGAACAATATGTACTGATATTTGGGATATGAATACTGTATAAAAAAAACTGTTCTTTTTGTAAACACCTGTACTTAAATGCTGTGACAAGTTCAAACATGTTTGAAAATCAGACAGCAATAGTCTGAGCTTATCTTTACATTAAATACGAAACCGATGATACTCGACTTTAATCGAATGTATCTGTAAAATATTCTTCTTAATCTTAACTTTTCATATTTCATCGTATTAATTTATTTGTTAATCACAATTTCTGTATCGATATTTCATCATTTTGACTGTTTTATGTTAGATTCGAATTGACTCGCTTAATGAAATTCGAGAAGCAGTCGTAAATGCCGTGTATGATATATGGTAGATGAAAAAACTGATGTCTGTATGAGACATGTTGCCAATGGCAGGTATGTTGCCTCTGAATTGGACGTTTTATGTACCAAAATTAAACCGTTTCAGGCTCATATTAATTTTAATAATTTTTCACGGAATCCATAGTTTAGGAAACAATGTTCTACATCAAGGATGTCCAACCTTTTTGTTTCTCTGGGCCACATTGGAAGAAGTCATGGAGTTCTTGGCCACAAGTATATTGTGGTCCAATCATGACTAGATTATAGGAATAAGTATTAAGACTTTATCACGAAAACAGATATTTTAAAAAATTACTTCTACAGACCAGTCAGACACTTTTAAGTTCTTCTTAGAAATAGATAAATTTATTTATTGTAAGAGAGATAAAAAAGAATTTATTTGAAAAACACAAATATTTGTTTTATTTTGGTCTTTAATTAATAAAAAAAAAACAACGAATCACCATTTTAAAGTGCATTTTTATTCAATTAATACTGTATATTTATAAATAATATGTAGCCCAAAATGTAGCCAATGCGTCAAATGATATCTTTTACGCCAAACTAAAAAAGGGTAGTAAAATTTTGCGCAAAGTAGCCAAATCTTGCAATGCTGAAAGGAATATTAAATAACGCTAGAGTTGGGATTCAAAGAACCACTCAGCAGTGAAGGACGGATATATCCGTTAAATTCTTTTGGGGTATCGCCAAAAACTAGCCAAAAACTACCGCGAAAAATGAATTATGTAACAATAATTAACAAGCTCCTGACTACCTGGATTTTCCATTCCAACTCGTTTCCTTACACCTGGTCACGTTCACTGTCGTGGTTGCGAAGACTTCAATACTTTCAATTCATTTAATTTTTTGCACCTAGATAGCAATTGGTAAAAATATGAATAATTTTGTTCTAATTTACTAGTAATTCAATTTATTATATATTCTTTATTATTACGCTAGAATGTAAGGATGGCCAGTACGAACTAGTATATGACAACATTGCCAGACGTACGAGAATTTGGACTAGCAATGTGAGATGAAAAATAACGGCAATACGAAAGATAAATTTTAGATTTTAATTAAAGATTTTATTTATTTTCTTTCGGATCGAAAGACAAATATATTGATATCTGTGTAAATGATAAAAATTTAAAATAATAATAATAAATCATACCATCCAAAATCAAATTCATGGGAATTTTGATAAACAGCAGAATTTTGCTGTTTACAGAGCATTACTGAAAAAGTAAAATAAAATATTTATAATAAGAAATTTTACTATTTCATGGGTTATAAATGTTATTTCAAACTCGTGTTTCTGTAAAAAATAAGAGTAAAAATATAAAACAAATATTTCATATATTAAATCATAATTATATATTACTATAGGAGTAAGTAATGTAAAATATTCACTTGCTTAAATAAAAAACAATATAAATTCTTCGAAGTGCTGACTGTAAAAACGTAAAGAATGTTGAATTTTTCTTCTGGTGATATAGTAAACATTCCTGTTATATCAATAGAAAAAATGTAATAAAGAAATAGTTTTGAACTTAAAAATTATTTTACGTGGAAAGGAAGAAAATTTTTCAAAATTTATGGTTTGTAAACCTGGACTGAAAGAAAATCTCCAAAAAATATGTTTTGTGTATTAAATAATTTCAATATTTACAAAGAAAATGTTTTTAAAATATTTTGTTCATAATTTAAAAATGCCTTTTTATAATTATATATTTTAACGTGTCTTCGTGAATTTAAATTTAATAAAACATAAATCTTAATTAACTCGTAAGATTGAAAATATCTAAGCTGTTTAAAATTGCCTTGTTGATATTTTTATTACATTTTTTTCCATATTTTACTGTAAAAAAGAAATATAACGATAATGGCATACTTTTTGTATTTCTAATTAAAATCAATCAGACATAAGAAATACTCGTAAAATATATGTAATAACCATAAAAATATTAATTTTAATTTTGGTAATAGATCGAAATTTTGAAAAAATCCAGCAACAAGTTGCGTAACTTTCCCG